CGTGTGGCTAGTCTGCACACTCACCTTGTACAAGTTACATGTAATGCATTAACTAAAAACACAAATAAAGGCAGTAGTCCCGTAACATCGGCCTTAATAGTAAAAAAAAAAAAAAAAAAAAAAAATTTAACTAAGTCAATTTTTAATATTTAACTAATATATTTTAACTAATTAACCAAATACAATTAATTATAATACAAGTAAAATTTTAAATTTTTGTTACCAGTAGGATTCAAACTCTTAACATGCAGCTTGGAAAGTAATAACTTGACCACTTTGCTATGTACTACACCTCTAGCTATTCTAATCTGTAATAGTTTACATTATAAAAAATTATCAATAAATTGGTTAAATAAAAAAAACATAAATTATATTATTAAAAAAATTAAAACTAATATTCTAATTATGGTAAAAAAAAAAATCAAATTACATATTATAAACCAAGTTCACAAATATTTATTGAATACCATCCTAATAATCCTAACATAATCCATATTTAAAATTTTAAATAAAAAAATTCAATAAAATTTTAAAAATTTGATTAAAAATATCTTAAAAACCAACTAATCAAATCTGATGAAATTTTTTTATTTGAATTATACAGATTTGTAGAATTTGAGTAAAAAAAAGCCCATCAATTTTGAAAAAGTAATTATTGAGCTATCTTTAAAAAAATTTGAAACATTTATCAAAATAGATTGTGCTAAATTTTCTCAAATTTGAGCAAGAATAACTAAGCCAAATTCAATAAACTTTTTTATTTGAATTATGCAGATCCGTAGGATTCAAATAAAAAAAGTTCATCAATTTTGGCTTCGTGGTTGTCGAGATATCTTTGCTTAAAGTTTTTTTAAAAAAAATAAATAAATAAAAAATTCATTGAATTTGATTGGTTGGTTGTAAAGATATCTTCGCTCAAAGGTTAAAAAAAGTTGACGCAGCTTGTATTTAGAATGTTTTAATTTTCTACAACATTGGGCGAAGTTATCTTGATAACCAAACGATTAAATTCAATGGATTTTTTTTTACTAGAATTATTCAGATTCGTAAAATTTAAATATGGTTGTCGAGATATCTTCACTCAAAATTTAAAAAATTTGGCGCAGCTTGTATTTTGAGATGGATTAATTTTTCTACAACCTTGTGCGAAAATATCTCGACAACCAACCGACCCAATTCAATGAAATTTTTTATTTGAATTCTATAGGTTTGTAAATTCAAATAAAAAAAAATTCATTGAATTTGGTCAAGATATCTTCGATAATATTTTGGCTGTCTGGGTCACGTTAGAATTATCAGGACGACGTCCAATAGAAATTCGTAAAAAAATAATCTACAGCACGTGATCTGATAATTTTATTCGCCATGGCTAGAAATCTGCATCTGCATCTAAGTTAAAATATCACTGTCAAAAATCATGGTACCAAACACTTCTGATCCTTTTCGCCAAATTATTTTAAAATATAATACCGAAAAATCGGAATTTCTAAAAGAATTCTCTTCTCAATACGGATACAACGGCAAAATTGATTCTATACGTGAGAACGAATATCCACAACTAAAAGGTACTTATATTCATTCTCTCACAATTACTTTTTGATTTTATTGATCTTTTTTTTTCCTTTTTTTTTGTTGCAAGGATCCGTTTATCTTGATCATTCTGGTGCGACTGCATATGCAAAAAATGTCTTAGATTCCTTCACTAATGATCTTACGAATAACCTTTTCGGCAATCCTCATTCGTACAACCCTAGCTCCCAGCTTACTTCTCAACGAGTTGAACTAATTCGGGCTCGTATTCTGAGACACTTTAATGCAAATCCTGGTGAATATCAAGTTATATTTACTCAAAACGCTAGTTCTGCAATTAAATTGGTTGGCGAAGCTTTCCCTTGGACTTTTGGTCAAAGTTCATTCAGATATTTGAGAGAAGCTCACAACAGCGTAATAGGTTTAAGACGTTTTGCCGAAGAAAATAATTCTCCAGATATTCAAGCTATAACTGAAGATGATCTAGAAACAACATTTAAGAACATTCAAGAAGGTTCAATTAACGATAATTTACATCCTGAAATCAACCACGAAATAAATCATGACACTATGTATAATCTTTTCGCGTATCCTGCACAATGCAATTTCTCTGGTCAAAGATTCCCACTCATATGGACAAAAATGATTAAAAAATCAGATTCTGATAAATCAAAGGTATTAGTCTTGCTTGACGCTGCTGCTTACGTAGCAACTTCTCCATTATCATTGGCAGATAAGGATATATCTCCAGACTTCGTTGCTATCAGCTTTTATAAAATTTTTGGGTTTCCCACAGGTTTGGGTGCTTTATTAGTAAAAACTGAATTGACTCCTGTATTAAAAAAGCGATACTTTGGCGGAGGCACAGGTACGCTATATATATATATGTTAAAAGTTTTAAATTTTCTATATTAATTATATCTATTTTTAATATATAGTTCGCGCAGTTGCTTACGATCGACCATGGCAAGAATTTCGAGAGAATTTGAGTGATCGTTATGAAGATGGAACTATTAACTTTTTGGAGGTTATTTCTCTAGAACATGCGTTCAATTCGATGGAACGAATATATACGGACTTTCATTTTATTAAGAATCATGTGTCCGCTCTTAGTGCCTATCTCTACAGACAAATGAATTCACTTCGTCATTGGAATGGTTCTCCTGTGTGTGTTATCCATGCTAATAATGACTTCTCAGATAGTTCTATTCAGGGTCCCGTCTTCAATTTTAATGCAAAGCGTGCTGATGGTTCTTGGATTGGGTACCTTGAAGTAGAAAAGTTGGCTAGCGTGAACGGGATTCATATTAGAACTGGTGGTTTTTGTAATCCTGGTTGTTTATCAAGATGGGTAAACGTTAAATCAGATCAAGTTATTACTAATTTTAAGGTAATTTCATATATAAATTTTGTACAGTTAACTCTACAACAAATTTTTGACATGACGAATTTTCAAATTTGTAATAACTAATATTTTTTAATTATTAATGCGTTATAAAGAGTCGTTCATTAGCACTTCTACATAATTGATTTTTTTTTGCATTATACACGAAAATTTGTTATATCAAGAGTTGACTGTACGTATAATATTCGTGGTATATTTTATTTATATAAACATGGCCTTTTTTATTCAAAGACTGGAAAAGTATGTGGTGATGATCATGATATTTATAACGGAAAGCCCACGGGTTCAATACGTATCTCTATAGGTGCCATGTCAACTATTGATGACATTCTTATATGGTTGGATTTCTTCAATACATATTTTGTGGAATCAACCCCTCCATATAATGTGTCACAAAACATGGTTTTTGACGCCAATATAACTCATTCAAATCAATCAAATTTGATTTTGGAAAGAGTAACATTGTGTATGTTTTTCCTTTGAAATAATTTTTTACTTTTATAAAGTAACTAACAAAATTTAATGCTTGCCTTTGCTATTGGACATCATAGTTCCAATTAAATCATGTCACGGATTTACCATACCACTTTCATCGACCTGGCCAGTAACTAGTCAAGGATTATTATATGACCGTGAATGGATGTTGGTAAATTTAAGAACTGGAAAGGCATTAAGTCAAAAAATGTAAGAAACTATTCATGTCATTAGCAATTTTGTTTAATGAAATTGTAAATAATTTTTACGCGATAAAATAACAGATATCCAAAGATGACTTTAATTCATCCAGCTGTTTTTCAAGACAAAGAATTGCTTGTTATTTCGGCACCTGGTAGCGTCACATAAATTAACTTTTTTATTACATTGCCTATGTTGTATAAAACTGTGTAATAATATTATTATTGTAACTTTATATAAAACAATAGGACAAGATCCTCTTCAAATAAAGTTGAGTGAATATCCTAATGGCATTGACTTTTCAATGTGCCCGTCACAAGTTTGTGGTGACAAGTATTTACTTATTTACTTTTCTAATGTATTTATTTGATGTCTTAAAAGATTATATGGGCTAGGTGCTGAGAAAAGGGACGAAATTGACAAAAAAAAGATCTTCGGAAAATCAATTTTTATGTTGTAAATCTTATAATAAATCATAAGAAAATAAAAACTTTAAAGAGCTATATCGCATAATTTTAATACAACTACTTTTGTGTCTTAAATGAAAAATGATCTTAACCTTATTCTAAATTGATTTATGCAAAAAAAACATCTTTTAAAAAAATTGCTCAATTTCGTTCCTTTTCTCAGCACCTAGCCCATATATTAAATAAGCTTTAAATAATTAAACTGCTCATTTGTAATTTAGAATTGAAGCACTCGTATACACATCTCCGCATATCACAAATTGGTTTACGAATTTTCTCGGTATACCATGCCGCTTAGCTCGGCAACCGCCTATAATTAATAATAGCAACAATTTCATTCAATCTCGCCGATTCATAAAGCCACACCTTGACGCGCCATCAAAAAATGCTCACCTTTCATTATCAAATGAATCACCATTTTTATTGATTTCAAGAAATAGTGTTAATCATGTTAATGAAAAAATTCTTGAAAATGAAAATAAAGATGAAATAATTGTTGCGGATTGTTTTAGAGCTAATTTTTTAATTAAAGCCATGTGTGAATACGAAGAAGATGAGTGGAAAATGATTAAGATTGGTGGACAAATATTTAAGGTAAAGTGACTAATTTGATTGTTCCCAACACGCATACGTAAGATTAATTTAAATTTTTTTAAGTTGATTGGTCCGTGTAGAAGGTGCCATATGGTCTGTATAAATCATGAAACAGGCGAGAAAATTAAAGAACCATATTCGACTTTAGCAAAATATCGTCGATTTAAAGTGAGTTTTACTCTCATACACCCTTTTTTGTTTTTTTGCATGAATTACTTATAATAATATATCATTAATTATAGGGTAAACTATATTTTGGACAACACATGGTTCATGTTGCTGAACTATCTGATTCACCTTTTGAAATTAAAAGTGGAGCAAAGATTGAAATATTGGAAAAAGTTTCAGAACCAAAATAAATTTGTTAATGCTTATGAATTAAATTCATTCTAAAAGCAACGATATTTTTAAAACAAGCAAAATATTGACAATTAGTATTTCATAGTTTGGATCGTTATTCAAAGTATAGAGTAAACGACAAGATTATCGCGATTAGATAATTGCAAATAAAAATTTTTTACTTCATAAATATAATTCTTACAATAATAATCCAATATATATTTTGTACAGCTTTGTTAATGGTTAACCGCCTATAACCGTTTATTTATCTGTTATACGATTAAATGAGTAAAAACTTTTATTTAAATTATTCGCTTACCCCCGATTTTTAAATTTAATACGATTAACCGGTTAACGTTAATGATAGTTTTAATGTCTCATATACCTCATATGGAGTTATAGACTTTTTACGGGGAGATCACCAACTGGGCCGGCATGAAGCAATGTTAGTCTATAGCAAAATTATTAGCTGGGCATTTTTACTTAATGAATGGGCTACGTACCTCTTATGAGTTCGGTAGGGTTTACTATAGCGACGGATATATTAGGGAATTAATAACAAATGCCGATTTATGCTTAAGTAAAGTATAGGGTTAATTGCAGTTACGCTTTAAGAGGATTAAGTGATTTGCAGTTACGAAAGAGGCAAACGGCTAAATGTATATGAAGATACAAGTAGTC